TTTAGGGTCTAGGGTTTAGGGACTCTGACCCGCAGAGCGCCCTGGCGCGTAAAAGCTTAACTCTATGAACATGGAGGGATATAACGTAGCCAGGAAAGTTAAACGTTACCTGACCCGTCCACCTTGGTCCCTGAATCATCACGACAGCCCGGAATCCTGAACCCTACGCCCCCCAGCACCAAAGTGCGAACCGACCCTAAACCCTAAACTTCCCCAACCCCCTGAACGAAACCCTCAACCCCTAGACCCTAAATCCCTAAACCCAAAACCCCAAAACCCCTAAACCCCTAAACCCTAAATCCCTAAACCCCTAAGCCCTAAACCCTCAATCCCTGAATCCCCGAAGCCGAAACCCCTGAACTCCGAAGCCTAATAAACCCCAAGCCGTAGTAGTGGCCTGGTGCTCCACCTCGTCGCCCCACTTGAAGGGATCCCCATTGGTCGCACCGCAGGTCCTGCGGTCAGATTTAAAATTAAGGTTTAGGGGTTTCGGGCTTTAGGGCTTGAGGGGTTTAGGGTTTAGGGGTCTCGGGCTTTAAGGGTTTGGGGGTTTCGGGCTTAAGGGCTTGAGGGGTTTAGGGGTTTCGGGTTTAGATGAGGGTTAGGGTTCAGATCAAGAACTCGAGGTGTGTAGGATCAGATCAACTCTCCAAAACTACAGCGATGCAAGCGGTGCTGCAAAGGGTTTTCGGGACTGGTGGCTTTGGGGGCTTGGGTGTGTTGAAAGGTGGTTTTCCATTACATTTACAGGACTATAGTGCGTCGCGGTGTCTAACTTTTCCGACGTCTATGTTATGAAGGGGCTAAGGTTTAAGGGTCACGCCTTCAGAGTCGCTTGATTCGGGCTGACGTTTATTTTCAGCGGGGCTGCTGTTTGGCAACTTTGCACCTACTTTGCCAAGCACTTTTGTAACCCTTGTGTAGAATTCGCATACCCCGTCTTGCTAACCCTGCTTACCAAGTCAAAAAACCAAGATGGAACCTAAACTCAAAGCCCCTGAACCCCTAAACCCTAACATCCCTAAGCCCTAAACATCCCTAAACCCTGAACACCTAAACACTAAACATCCGCAAACCCTGACCCCCTACACCCTAAACATCCGTAAACCCTGAACCCTTGAACCTAAACCTATACAACCCGACTTGCGTGGCTCTTGGGTAGAGCTAGACTCGTCCTGAGGACCGACAGGAACTGCTCAATGCCATGCTCGCGCACATACCTGACTTAAGGCGCAAGGACTTGGGCCTTCTGGAGGACCCCACATCAGCACGGCTGATGATATACATATGTATATATATATATATATATGTATAAATCCAGCATTACCCTAACGACCCGAAACTATGGGAATTGGTATGTTCCTTATTAAGTATGGGTAATGCAGGATTTGCATCATCGACCGTAGTTCTAGCTGCATTCTAGCCTACGCAAGTCGAAGAGTCTGGGTGTGGCCCAAACCTCCGGGCTCAGCAAGTCACTCGGATTGCTGTTAGTCATCATTTGCCTTTCAACTTCCTTAGGCCCCAATTTCCGAGGGTTTAGGGTTTAGGGATGTGCAAGCACGGTTGGCAAGCATGAGAACTAAGTCTCAGGCACCCCTAAACCCTAAACCCAAAACCCTAAAACCCTAAACCCTGACCCCTAAAACCCTAAACCCTAAACCCTGAAACCCTAAACCCTAAACCCCCATCATGTGAAGCAGTCTGCTTGTCTCCCTCCCGACCAACGTTCCCGAGAAGCGCAGCACCCTCAAAGGAAAGGCCCTCTTGGGGTTTCATATAATGTTAAAGGAAACTACAGGTGGGGAGTTTAGGGTATATAGGGTTTAGGGTTCAGG